ATGAATGACCCGACCGGGCCGCCGGATCATCGGATTTAGCTGATTTTGTTCGAGTTTTGATCGGGTTTGATCGGGTCGATGCATGACTGGTTCAATCCTTGACCAGTCCAATACTTGATCCGAATCGGTCTGATGACCGATTTACCAGATTTTGGGTCGACCCGACCAGGTCAGACGGAATTTTACAATGTGAGGAGGTTCATTAAACGTTAAAATTAACTAGAAATGAATGATGTCACTCATTCAAACTTCATGGGATTTACACGATAAATAAAAAAGTTATGTACGAATGTAGAAAATTGTTGAAAACATAGAAATGTTTGTAATTTAACCTAAATTTTATTGACTTAAATTAATATATTAGGTCTGTTATAATATTTTGCTCAAATCTGCAGTCCGTTTATTTATTTTATTGAAAAAATCATTCAAATGAATGAAGAATAACATTCAAATGTTCCTCATCTAAAAAAAACAAAAAACTTAAAAAAATTAAATTTCAATGTTCCTATTTTTTTTTTTTTAAACAATTGAGCATTCAAATTTTCTGATTGACTCTAATGTTTCTTTTCAAATCACATTTTGATTTTATTTTATTTTAGGTAGGGACCTGTTTGAAGGATATTAGAAGTTGGGACTGTCATTTCTTTTTATAATGAAAGATCCCACTAATCTACTTTAAAAAAATCTACTAATTCCAACTAAGTATTAATCTATTAGCGACTCAATTGCAAAAGTCAAAAACTAACAACAAATTAAATTGTTGCAAATTGGAACTGTTAAAGGAAATTAGACCCGCCCACAATTAGCTTAGTGGAGCAAAGCATTTGTGGAGAATCAAACCCAATCTACAATTTCAGGATTTAATTAAGCATTCACATGCATTAACGCATAAAAGGCTGATGATGTACTTTTGGTCACCATTAACCAATCAGAAGTGAGGTCAACATCATGAAGTTGATTAAAATTTCTAAAGTATTCTTTTAATAACTGTGTAAAAATCTAAAGCGTCAACTAGATGGATTTTAATTTTATAGGAAATAAAGAAAAAGAAAAGGATGATAACTTATTAAAAATTATCGTCAAATTATTATATGTGTCATTTGGCCATAAACAAATATTTCCAGCATGGGGCGTGGATTATTATAGTATGATTACTGTAATCGGGTCCAGCCAATGATGTAGATATCAATAAGTTGCATTATTATAAAAATATAGCTTTCAAGTGGTAAACTCTTTTCAACCTATATGCTGGAAATGTAAGGAGCAAAGGAAAAGAAAGGCAAAAGTAGATTCCCACTGCACATGTTATGTACTAGACAATGTTTAATTTGTCTTGGCTTGGGTAGGGACCAAACTTATTTTTATATCTGATTTTCTAGTCCTTCATGATTACCTCAAACATAGATGTATGTTATGTTTTTTTTCTTTTTTTCCTTATTAGTGGCTGATAAGGTTTCACTAAATATAGCGTCGTCATTCAAGATGTTATTATCATTCAGTCATTCTCCCTCATTTGATCATAAAATGAGTAATTTATAGTGTTAATATCAGCATATCATATTAATAGTGTAAGAATTACACGTCCATTTTTATCCTTAGTATGAAAGTGGCTTGAAAGTAAATAGAGTATCTTCTATATGAAAGGTTTATAGTTGTATTTCATTATTTGTATTATGATGTTTATTATTCCATTTCTAAGTGTAAGGCGAAGAGATACCATGAGGACGTAGACAAATGATGGTCTAACAATTATAGCTTGATCTGAGTGAACTCATTGTGAATATCTAGTATGGACATAGGGATCATTTTTTTTTTTTTTTTTTAACTTTTTGATACAATGCAAAATCAGAAATATTTTATTCATTTAATTCTTTAGATAAATTATCTATCAATCTAATGCTAAAAGATGCATGGTATTGCAATGTGCAACTTACATGAGAGTGATGCGTGTACTTCTGCTGAGCACGACAGATGAGCGTGCACTGACTTTTGCAAAAATCACGCATAGGATGATGCACGACTTGAACATGAACATCCCTCGTATGCATTTTACTAATATTAGATTGATAAATAATTTTACATTATCCAAAAAAAAAGATTGATAAATAATTTTCAAAAACATTAAATAGGTAAAGGGTAAAAAACCCAATTTTGTAGATAAGGAAAAGGTCCACTCCTTCAATGTGCAAAATCTAAACCCTTGATTCAAGCCTTGTTTTTCCAAACTCAATGAGAAACAGTTAAAGATTTTGTCTGTAGCCACATAAGTGACATCTTCGCCAACCCGTCAAAGGTTAGAGACATCAACCAAACCCTTTTATGCCTTATTCCCAAGGTTGACAATCCTCAGTCTGTCAAGAAATTCAAACCTATAAACCTTTGTAATGTCATTTACATGGCTGTCACTAAGATCCTTGCCCGTTGTCTCAGACCTCATATAACTCCCTTATCATGCCTAATCAATGCAGCTTCATCAAGGGTAGGCACAACACCGATAACATCATCATCGCCCAAGAAGTTATGCATTCCATGAGACGGAAGAAGGGTAACAAAGACTAGATGGTCATCAAAGTGGATCTTGAAAAAGCTTTTTGATAGAATTGACCAGAACTTCCTCCACCAAACGCTCATTGAAGCTGTCATTCCTCCTAAAGTCTCGTGTGCCTTATTATGGAATGCATCTCCACCTCTTCAATGAATGTTCTTTGGAATGGGCAGCCAACTAGGGAGTTTCAACCATCTAGAGGGGTCAGGCAAGGTGATCCTCTATCACCTTACCTCTTTGTCCTTTGCATTGAAAGATTGGTTCACCTTAATAATGAAGCTTTTAAGCGTAAGGTTTGGAAGCCTATCATTCTCAAGAAAGGAGCCCCTCCCATAAACCATCTATTTTTTGCGAATGATTTACTTTTGTTCGCTGAAGCTAATATAGATCAACCGAGACTTATAACAAAGATCCTGGACTGTTAATTTGTTGCTCCTCTGGTCAAAAGGTTAGCAAAGATAAAACCAAGATTCTGCTTTCCAAAAATGTTCACCACGTTAGAGCTTCTGAAATTGCTCAATCCATGGGGTTCTCCATAACTGCTGACTTGGGGAAATATCTTGGAATCTCCATAACTCCATGCCACTACCTGGGATACTGTCTGCAGCAAGAAGAAAGTTGGTGGTTTGGGGCTCCGCCTTATGAGACCAGCTAACCAGGCTTCCATAATGAAGCTGCAGGGACATGCTCTCCTAACTCAGCGTGACGTGATGCCCTCTCGGTTCGTGTTTTGAGAAGCAAATACCGTACGGGAAACAAACTTCTTTCTTAGCCTCGGCCATCAAAGAATTCTTCTTTTATTTGGAAGGGGAAGGGAATTATCAAATCCTGGCCGTTCATATTGAAGGGCTCAAGAGTACAAATTGGAGATGGAAGCACCACTAATTTTTGGTTGGATAAGTGGGTCCCACGTTGTGATTTATTGGCTTCCCATGCAAACGTTAACATTCCTGAGAACATCATCTCATGGAGTGTTGACAAATTTATCAAGGAGGATGGGAACTGGAACTGGGATAACATTTAGAAGTCTTTTATCTCCTGTTGCCTGTGAGAGAATAGCTAACACTTTTCCCCCTTGCCCTACCAATGGTCAAGATAGAATTACCTGGTCCCCCTCTAACGATGGTGCCTTCTCAACCAAGTCCGCTTATGACCTCAACGTTGGTGGTCATCATGTTGAGCACACTTCCGGTTAGATAAGGACTCCATGGGCTTCTGTAGCCCTAGACTTTGCTCTATTTAGTTTGTTTTATTTTAATTAGTAAAGTACTTTTGCATAGTGAACTAAAATTACGGGACTTATTTTGATTCTTTACAGAAAAAAAGTCTGAAATTTAAAATAGGTTCAATTAGTCAAAATCATAGTCTTTCTAAAATTTAAAGAAGATGTCTCTCAAAAAGACTAATATGGGTCTATTTTAAATTTCAGAAGGACTACGAGTCACTTTTTTTTTTTTTCTAAAGAATTAAATTAGACCCCGTAATATTTGTTGATGACCTAAAAGTTACTTTACACTATAAAAAAAAACAAGGCATTTTCAGCAATCACTCATGTGGGCCTCTCTCTTAAGGAAATTAGGCTGCCACGCACACTGGGTCCACACAAAGACATGTGCTCAATCAGGGAGAGAGAGAAATCCAAACCATAGAATTATCAACATTTATTGCATAAAGAGAATAAAAAGGAGGAATGGAAAATTGAAAAGTAAAAAGAAAAGAACCTGAGAAGGAAGGGATAAGCATGGAGAAGCTCAGTTCCATCCCAAAAAAGAACCTTTGGGTCCCTTGTCTTGTTGTTGGGGTCACTGTTTACATATATATCTGCCACTGGAGACTGTAGTGCTTTAAGCTAATATAGAATACTTTAATTTCCCAGCCAGTACCATTCACTCGCCACTAAAAATTAAAAATAGTCAAAAGCTCATCATCTCTTATCTAAGATTCTGTTCTTGTGGTGGTGTGTGATTGGGAACCAAACAGATTTACCTAAAGTTGCTTCCAACTGTATCAGGGTATCTTCACACATTATGTATTCATGCATGTACACTTCCAGCTCTCAGTTCTCACGAGTCACACCCACAAGGACACACATTAATATTAAATAAAATCTGGTATAGTTTTTTTGGTAAAGAAGCTCTTGTTACATGGGAATGAGCCTAAAACAGTATCTGCAATCTCAGTTACAAGCCAAAGTAAGAACTAGGAACAACATTTTGGGTTGAACTTGTGAAGGGAGTAAAGGTATTATGATGAGTTCCCACAAAAAAGAATGATCGACAAAGATTTATGAAGACCCTTTAGCTCCTTTTAACAAGGAGAAAAGTTAATGGAAGCTGAAAGCCTTACCTCATGGACTCAGCAAATCATAGAAAATGAAGATAAACGAGAAAATTGCTCATTTGTAAATTATATTTCCATCACATGAATAAATGGTAAAACCACATTAATTGAAAAATATAAAAATAAAAAGACTTTCTTATTTCCAGTATGAACAACAGCAGCATGATTAAATTATAGCACAAGCATGCTTAATTTCTATTAGATCCAAAATTACAAGGTTACGATGAGAGGAATTTTAGGGGGGGAATCATTTTTTTTTTTTTATTTGAAATATAAGGAGTAAGTGATGAACTAGAGAAGGTCCTGTAATACAAGAGAGCTTAAGCTACAGAATCAAATCTTGTTCTACTCCTCAACACAATAGTGCGGTTGTGCTTCTCCACCAAGCAAAAGAATTAAGAAAACAAACTCTCTACACTGGCCTGTGTCGCTTGTGGCCAGCTTTCCCATCTGATTTCACAGCACCACTGGAATCTCCCTCGGAAGTAATTTCCATGGATTTGGTAAAGGAACTTGAAAGATCAGCATATAGGTCAACCACTCTTCTGACATTGTTGTTGAGCTCCCTAATAAGGCCCACATTCCTTGTAAGGTTGTCAGGGACCTTAGACTCATGATTCTGGTTTATCTCATTGATGAGTAACCTATTCTGATCCAAGATGTTCTGGACTTGAACAAAGCTCTTTTGAAATGTATTCAAGACCTTGCTATCAATCTGGGTACCATTGCCAAGACCAGAGAATGTGTCACCCTCCATTTTTTTTTTTTTTTTTTTGAGTCAAAAGCTAATTCAAGTCAGAACCAACCAGCCCTGCATCATTAGCAAAAGGAGATGAGAAGAGATAACTAAGGAGGATTAAGTATTTAAAAATAATATACTGTTTGGTGTAGTTAACTTTTTTAATTTATCCATAATCATACCCTCCTATCTGTACTTGCCTGCACTAACCAAAGCAGAGAGACAAAACATGAACAGTTTTGGAATTGTTTAAGGCATTTGGGCAGATGAGACAAGCTCTGTAGAAGAAATCATGACCTCCATGAGTTCCTTTTTCCAGAGGAATCAGACTATAAGCATGAATTATTTTTATTATTATTCTTGTTAGTATTATTGATAGTAATAATTTTTTATTTTTTATGAGTTGGGGAAAGCAGATCCCGTTTCCATAAAAGGGAACTTTTTTTTTATTGTACTCAGGAAATAGCTACCTAAAGCAGAGAGTTCCATAGATCATATATGCATCTCAAAGACCACACAAAAAAAAGAGAGTCAATGATGCCAGTGATGAGGCTATGAAAGTACTGCTACACGGACTATATCAACCTTTTCAAACAAAATTAAGGAAAGCAAAAATACAAGAAGTAACTGTTCATAAAGCTAATAAAGATTATTGACCAAATTTCTGAGAACATACATATATACATACATTGAATAAAACCAAAAGGCCATTTAATAATGTCGAATTGGCATTACTTAAAACAAAGGGAAAAAAACCAAATATAAATTAATGAAGAAAACTTGCAGCAGCATAATAGCTAGTAACAAAAATTCTTAGAAGAAAAAAAAAATTGAAAAAACATAAAAGCCCATTTGAGTTTGGCGATTCCAAGTTCCAACGCATCTCAAACCCATTAAATTGTAGAGATCTTCAGAGAATATTTTATTCAACGAGGAAGAAGGAAACAGCAGAGAAACAAGGACGAGAAAACAAAAATTCACATTTTTGCAACTACAAAAATTCAAACAACATATTATTTACTAGTTTATTAATGGTAACATTAATAACAATATTATCATATTATATATATATATATATATATATATATATATATATATTCTAAAAATAGTACCTTTTGAACCCGCAACATTATGTTTTGTGGAAGAAGAGTGAGATTGAAAGATGGAGAGAGAGAATAAGATCGGCAACTAAATGAAATCTCCAGAACACGAAGGAGCAGTCCTGTGAATTTTCTTCTCAGAGAACAGAAGAGAGAGAAAGAGATAGAGAGAGAATATGTAGATTTGACAGTCACGCTCACGCTCGGACCCATCTGTGTCTTAATATTTTAGCATTATTCTGTACAATCTATAATATTAATGATATGATGTATGTTCAATATTCAATATCCATCTGTTTATCCCAAAAAATATATATATATATATATCCATCTGTGTTTTTTTTTTTTTGGTTTTTTTTTTAAAGTTAATTTGGATACACTAACGTCATATAGAAAAATCATTGTGGGTACACATAAAATAATGAGTAAACACCATTTTTAGTCCCTGGCAATATCTACGAAGTCTTTTTCAGTCCCTGGCAATAAAAAAGGACCAAATTGGTCCCTGAAAGTACAAGAAAAGAGTCACTCTACATATTTGGGAGTTGACATAAGGACTAACATGGCTCTTTTTTTGTAATTTCAGGGACCAATTTGGTCCTTTTTTATTGCCAGGGACTAAAAAGGACTTCGTAGATATTGACAGGGACTAAAAAGGATGTTTACTCTAAAATAATTTTAATCTAAATTATATATAAGTCATAACGATCGATGAGTGTATGTCTGGTACATACGATGCAATAACAACGGATGATAACGATTTGAACGGATAAAATTTTAATACGATGCAGGTGACATTGTATAGGGTATTGCATAATATTAAATAATATTAAATATTTTTATAAATACATTTTTCACTTAAAAACATATTATATTCAGAAAATTTGTTTTTTTTTTATAGACAAAAGGCGTAAGCCAACACGAAGAGAAAAAAAATAACAACAAAAAGAGACTAAAGATTACACACACCACATCACGTGGTCTACTAACAGAAGCTAAATTAGCTAGCAGCAAAAGCCTAATATCAAGAGGAGGATCTGACCAAATAATTTTAGAAGCCTGCACTTGATTATCTAAAATATAATTGATCAACCAATCAGCACAAGAATTTCTTTCTCTATAAGTATACCTAAGAGACATAGACCAGTTCCTTTGAAGCCATATCCGTATACAAGAAATCAAATGATACTCACAGATTGCTACACTATTTTTTGTTAGCAGAGTGATTATGCTAGAAGAATCACTTTCAAGGATTATATCACTTTCAGAAAATTTGTGATATAATGTTAAGAAAAAAAATTCATAATTATTAAGTACATTATTTTAAAAAAAAAAAAACTTAATTCTTTTTAAAACATATCAAAAAAGTTTGCTTATCTTTCTGTAATTTCTTCTCTTCCTCATAATGAAATTTTTACACAGCCAAAAAAAAATCTCTTAGACAAATTCTTTTCACATAAAAACAAAGGGTTTTATGAGAGTTATGTTGTAGGAAAAGTGATTGTGTAATGTTATAGAGATTCGTTTTGCATGCCTTAATTTTTTATTTATTTTTTTGTTTTAAAAAGTGTGGGCCCCACAAAATGTTGTGAGGGTAGAAAAGTTTGTTGTGTTATGTTAAAGGATAAAACGAAAACCCAAAAACAAAACCTCACAATTGCTTGTCAATCATCAGATAATCATATACTTGTCATACACAGGAATTCAAAACACATCACTACGGACTTAAGGTTTATCAACGGTGTAGAAACGAACATCATACAAAGAACAAAAAATAATAAAAAAATAATACGGAAGACGAAAGAAAGAAAAGTAGCATATACATAATAATTAGCACATTCATATACTCAAGAATTGTTGGTGGTGGCACTCAATTAGATATTAGAATTTGATCTGCCATTCGATTTTTGAGAATTGTAAATAGGGTGTATATAGGTTACGTGAGGACAGACTTTGATCTTAATAGTTTAAGTTTATATAAAATATTAAATGAATACTTTTTTTGGTCCTCAGTAAATTTCACAATACCCTCTTTAGTTCCTAGCAAATAAAAAGACTTATCGTGGTCCTTAAATTTCAAAATGGACCTATTTAGTTGAAATCGTGGTCCTCACAAATTCAAAAAAGATATATTAATCCCTCAAAAGGACTAAAATAGATCCATTTTTAATTTCTTAGGACCACGATGGACCTTTTTATTTGCTAGGGACTAAAGCGGATATCGTGAAATTTACTGAGGATCAAAAAAGATATTTACTCTAAAATATTTAGAGCTTAACTGGCACATTAATTTATTAAAGGCTTGATTTATAGGTGTCCTATTGTAAAAAAATAAAAAAACCTAACATGGTCTTCTAGACTTACAGAGTTGCAAGTCGAACTAAAATAAAAAAGATTTAAATTTATTATTCATTAAACAAGGTTTCTCACAAGAGTCCAAATTATAAAAATTCTCACACAAATTTTTTTTAATAAGGTTACAAAGATCCTTAAATAATGTTCATAACAACACAAAAAATAGTTATTTTTAAGAGTCTTTTCTTTGCTCTTGGTAGCCTTCAAAAATATATTATTTTATTGAAAAATCAAAAGGCCAACTTGCAAGCTTATAAGCCAGGCTTTTTAAAATGAGCCTATGGCCTAATTTTTAAATGAATTTTTCTAAGTCTAAATATGCTCTATTTTCTAAATAGATTAGGATAAGACAGGGCAGACCAAAGGTAAGCTGAGTTGTTGGCCCCTGATAGGTGTTAACTTTGAATCATGTATATTTTAATGGGTTACATTCTGATTTATTTGAACTGGATGAAGTGTAATATGCAGGTATTTGGGCCAAAAAGAAAAATAATATGGCTCAATTTGGAAAAAGGTAAAAGAAAGGAAGTCAATGTAATTTTACTTATAAATTTCATTACCCAATGCTTGCAGATGTTAAAAATAAGCACGTGACCAAGTTGATAAAAGAAAGGGACAAATTTGGACCATTGGATGAACAAAAAGATGGACGGCTACTAACTTTTGGATTTTTTAGTTTTTAGTTATTTTTGTGGGATGTAATAAGAGATAGTTTTTCAGATTTAGATTTTCAATCTTTGTTATTTTTGTTTTTGAAAGAATTCTGAGCATTGTGAGATTTCTTGAAAACTGAGTGTATTGTTCTTCAATTCTTGAACTCGAGGTGCACTAACAACGCATCTTTGCGTGAAGGAATCAAGGATCTGCATGCAAGCTTGTGTTTTCATATTTTTGCAAGTTCTTCCTAGCTCTAGTTTAGGAATTGATACTTTGGTTTGTACGATTAACTTTGAGATTTTTTTTCTTGATATTTCTGAATGCATGTTTTCTTTTTCTGTAATCTCTAAATTGTTGTTTCTGAAAATGAGTTTCTAATTCCTTTCTTTTTCTAGGGTATTCAAAATGATTGGCTGAAATTCCTTGATGTGCATTGTTATTGTTTCTTTCATTCTCATTCATTTAGTACTTTTATCTTTTTAACTCAAGAACTCTATGGGAATAGAACTTGAGTAATTAAACAAAAGAAAATTGGGAAATGGACTTTTGTTAAGTGTTAAATGAACCCTTTTGGTTAGGAATAATCGGAGGTGTTTTCTGACAAAGATCTCTATAAAGAATCAGGAAACTTTTGGAAAAGACTTTCTTGAATCTTATTGTTGAACCTGGAAAGCTTTAGCTAAACTTGCCGTAGTAACTCAGAAATTGAGATATAGATGCTATAGCAATGTGCAATTTTGCAAGAATGCAAAGATTTTCTGTCACCCGTGATTTGAGATATACCTAGAAGCCCTTAATTTTGACAAACCATTTCTTTACTTTTTAGATCATAGTGCGACAATAGCGGATCACATATTGGACCCCACCCAAAAAAAAAAATTCATAAAAGGCCCTGAAGTCTACTCCTGACAAGTAACCTATCTATAAATAAAGGGTTAAGCCAATCAGATACACACTTTTGAACCCTATCTCTCTTAGATGTAATTGTGCACACCCCGCCCATTGGCTATGCCGTTATTCTAGTGTACAATATTTCGTTATTCTCTAAGGTACCTCCCATATAGGTACTTGAGAGAGGGGATCTAGATCTATAAAAATAAACCAATAAGTGAACATCTCGATCCTTCTAGGATTGAATATTGATGTTGTGGTTCCAAACCCATATCTACAAAAAGAAAAAGGAACACAAGATCAGTGTTACCCATTCAAACATGTGAAATTTCATGTACTAAAAAGCGAGCGGTTCAAACAAATATTAATTGCCAAGATTGGTGCTTAGACCATTTAGAAACCAAGAAGGGCTTTTGAGTTCAAGGACATAGTATAGTGCTGCTTTTGATGGAGTGATAGGATCCCCTCTTGTTGGTTCACTTTTCATCACATGTTTAGAGAAACAGTCAAGGTGCCAAACGATATAAATAGAATGGAGCGTCGACCGCTCCAAGCCTCAGCTCGCCTTATTGAAAATCTTAAAAACCTCATCGGCTGTGAAACCCAGAGTCTAGTCATTTGCTAGTTCACGCCATTTTCAGGCTCTTGCCTACTTGAAAAGAAAATATGGCTAAACAATCACACAAGAGGGGATGAATTGTGTGTTACTTCTTTTGCAAAAAATAATTAAAAACACAATCTTTTTTCAACAACTTCAACCCAAAACAAAATTCACAGAGTATTAACCTTTTCTTAACCCAGAAACAGAATTAAAACATATACAATAACATCTAATTCAGAGATTAAACAGGGAAATCAAAATTAGATGGGAAAAAAGAAGAAATCGAAGTTTATAGCAATCTCTTTCAAGAAAACATGCAAGAACGAAATTAAACGGAGAACTATCAATTCCTATCCCTTAAACAGATTCAAGATAACATATACAATGAATTAAAAATGAAATCAATTGATCAAAATCAAAGAGAAATGGTAAGGAAGAATTACACTGGGATATATCTTGGTTTACTCTCTAACCAGTTGAGAGCTATATCAAGGCTGAGATCAATCCTTTCACTATGTTCTAGCTTCAAACTGGAGCCAGAAAAACCGTTTTACAATATAGTCTTTTACAAGTCTATGACTAAACCTTTTATCACACTCAACTTATAACCTGTCTCTCCAATTCACCAAAATCAATTACAGCAATTCGCTCTTGCCAAACAGATGTAGAGTAGTCTCTCC